GCCCAGTTCATCTCCACCTTAGACTTAACTAAGGGGTACTGACAAGTGCTACTAGATGACCCCGCCAAGGAAAGGTCAGCCTTCATCACCCCTGTAGTGCTTTATGAATTTAATGTGTTCCCTTTCGGACTGCGAAATGCACGCTCCACTTTCCAGAGACAGGTAGATAACCTTCTGGCTGGATTTGGGAAATTTGCAGTCACCTACCTTGACGATATGGCTATATTTTCAGATTCCTGGGCAGACACTTGGAACACCTCCAAGCTGTCTTCCAGCGCATAAAGGAGGCAGGATTAACTGTGAAGGCCAAAAATGTCAAATAGACCTAACCAGGGTAATGTACCTTGGACACCAGGTGGGTCAAGAAACTATCAACCCCTACAAGCTAAACTAAATGCTATCCAAAATTGGCAAGTCCCTAAGTCGAAGAAGCAGGTCCAATCCTTCTCGGGCTTGGCCAGGTATTACTGATGATCTGTACCACATTACAGCCAAATTGCCACCCCACTGACAGACCTGACCAGGAAAAAACAGCCAAATGCAGTTCAGTGGACTGAGACTGTCAGAAAGCCTTTAACCAGCTTAAGGCGGCCCTTATGTCTGACCCTGTACTAAGGGCCCCGGACTTCGACCAACAGTTCATTGTAACTACAGATGCATCCAAGTGTGGTGTAGGAGCAGTTTTAATGCAGGAAGGACCAGATCAACAATTCCATCCTGTCGTGTTTCTCAGAAAAAAACTTTCTGAGGGGGAAAGCCACTGGTCAGTCTTAGAAAAAGAATGTTACGCCATTGTGTATGCTCTGGAGAAGCTATGCCCATACATTTGGGGACGGCAGTTCCACCTGCAGACTGGACATGGTGCACTGAAGTCAAAGAGACTAACAAAAAACTTCATCGGTGGAGTTTAGCTCTTCAAGACTTTGATTTTAAAATACAACACATTTCAGGAGTCTCTAACAAAGTGGCTAATGCACTCTCCCAGGAAGGTTTCCCAGAATCAGCCTGGTAAAAATGTCCCTATAATCTAAGTCATTGTAGTCCTTGAAACGTGAAAAATACTGTAATTATTAGTAAAAGTAGAGGTGCATGTATCTTATTAACTCTGTTTCCTAACCTCCAGGAAGAAATCCCAGCCGGTGTGGACCCGACCTGAACCAGGCTGGCCAGCACCGTCTGTGATTTTGGGGGCGTGTGATAAATGAAGGGGGGGATATCTTCCTTTTATGGACACCCAGCCAGACAGTTAGCTATAAAATTCCTCTTGGTAGCTGTTCTCTACTTGTAGAGCTGTTCTCTCTACCTGTAAAGGGTTAAAAAAGCCCATAGGTAAAAAGAAGGGAGTGGGCATCTGACCTAAAGAGCCAATGGGAGGGCTAGAACTTTTTAAAATTGGGAAAAAACTTTTCCTTTTCTGTTTGTTGTTGTTCTCCGGAGAGAGGAGACGCTGAGGAGGAACCTGGCTGAGCTATGATGTAGGAAGCTTTAAACCAGATATGAAAACCCGTCAGATCATACCTAGAGATTGCTTAGCTGAAACTCCAGATATGTAAGTAAGTCAGGGAAGATCTAAGGAAGATGCAATTAGGGTTATTTCTTTTATTTCTTATTAGTTTGTGGACTCCTCTATGCTAACCCCAGGTGCTTTTGTTTTGCTTGTAACTTTTAAGCTGAACCTCAAGAGCTATCTTGATGCTTAATTTTTGTAATTTTTTTTTATCTAGCAAAAAGCCTGAGTTCCAGTTGTATTTTCTTTCTGTTTTCAATAAAATTTACGTTTTTTTAAGAACAGGATTGGATTTTTGTGCCCCTAAGAGGTTTGTGCATATGTTGTTTAATTAGCTGGTGGCAACAGCTAATTTCCTTTGTTTTTCTTTCTCAGCTCTTCCACGGGGCGGGGGTGTATGTGTGAAAGGGCTTGAGGGTACCCCACAGGAAGGAATTGCCAAGTGCAATAGTATCCCCCTTTCTATATGCTCACAAATTACCCCAATTTTTTTAAATAAAAGTTTGTTATTTTTATGAACCTGTTGTTTTTTTTTAAATAAGAACTCAAGTGTTTTTTGTCCGTGCTTTTCATCTGACAGTACATACACAGAAGAGGCATTATTTGGAACTGTGCATGTCAAATCATGATCATTTCCCCCCATTTTAAACTGAATTTTGTTTTTACTGCAGGTGTCTGGTTAACCCCCACATAACATTTGAAATGACATGAAAAAGGAAGGCATCACCATCGTGAGAGCTGTGAGCAACAGAAGCACAGCAAAGTCCATCATTGTACCTACTGAAAACTCAACCGGCTGTATTTAAGGCCTCATCCAAAGACCATTGACTTCATTTTGTTTTGACACTTACTGCAAGAGTTCTGGACACTACTAGTCTATTATGCCACCCTGTGCGTGCATAACAAGTCACTGAACACAATTAGCAGCATATAACACCACCACAAAACCATCCTATCCAGCATGTCTGGATTTCCATTGGAACATGTGGAGCTCCAGAATTAGTATGCGTTAACCAGCTGCTTATTTCAGGGCAGTTCAGACACAGCTTTTTCATGTGCCAGACACCAGTATTTATCAATCCTGGAGTAAGAAGTGCTTAAATATAGATCAGCCTCCATGAGGAGGGCCCTCAAACGGATGTCTCGCTTTTTCTGAGTTCTGGGACAAAAGTTCTTACACATGCGACACTTCTCATTCACCAGTGATTCCCCCGAGCATTTGAGGCAGCTGCTATCGGGGTCATTAACAGGCATAGGCCTGTTACAGTCAGAGCAGGGCTTAAAACGTAGAGACTGAGGCAGAGTTCCCACTGGGACTCTATCTCTAACTACATTACTTAAGTACTTACTAACTACTGTAAAACTATTTACCAGGCCTTAAGGCTCAAAGACTGAAATAGAAGAACCGCTAGCCCAGTGGTCCCCAACCTTTCTCTGGCCAAAAGCACATTCATGCCTTCAGAAGAGTGTGCCGGGCAGAGATGGTTTTTGGCGGCATTTCAGCAGCCGCTTCTCCGCCGGAAGCGCCCAGCAGCGGCATTTCGGCAGCCGCTTCTCTGCCGGAAGCGCCCAGCAGCGGCATTTCGGCAGCCGCTTCTCCACTGGAAGCGCTGATCGGTGACATTTTGGTGGCAGGTTCTCCAATGGATGCGCTCCTCTCCTCTTCGTTCCTTGGCGCCAGCCCTGACAGCAGGCACACATAAATGTCCTAGTGGGCACCATGGCACCCGCGGGCACCACGCTGGGGTCCACTGCGCTAGCCCTTGTGAGGCAAGGGAAAGACACTCCGACTAACCACCAGGGGTGGTAAGAAGAAACAGAGGGTTTACCGCTGGTGGCAGCTAATATACCGACGCATGGGCGCGGCACTCAAGAGGGTGCTACAGCCGACCCTACAGATATCGCTAAGGCAAAAATCTCCAACAGCCGCACACGTGGGCATGCGCACACCTAGGATGGAATCGACATGAGCAAACACTCGAAGAAATCACAGCTCCTGATAAAAATGAATTCACCTTCAGATTCAAAGTCTTATACAGCAACATTTCTTGTTTTTAAAAAATTCTCAGTTTACACACAATTACTGAGGCTGATTAAAGGCGGATTCCGCACTCTGGCGCTTGGAGAGCAGAAGGTGGGGGCCCGCAAGGATTCTAAAAATTAATTCGGCCACTCCAGGCTGGTATTAAACTCCTAAGGTCACAGCTTCTCTCTGACCTTGGATGGGTAGATGCTGCCACCACTCAAATGCAAAACCCTTTGGAACCCAGGAAGGTGCACTTGAGAATTCTTTTCTGTGGGGTACACTTAAGCCCTTTCACACCCCTCTCCCCCTGGGGAAGAGCTGAGAAATGAAAACAAAGAAATCAGCAGTTGCCACCAGCTAACTAAAAAAACATGTGCACAAACTTCTTAAGACACAAAAGTCCAAATCCTGTTGTTAAAAAAGGTAGATTTTATTAAAGAAAGAAAGAAAGAGAAAGAAAGAAAGAAAAAATACATCTGAAAACTCATGCTATTGCTCAATTTTTAAAAAAGCAATTCCAAAAATTAAGCACCCAAAATAGTCTTCTGGGGCTTCAGCTTAAAGGTTACAAGCAACAAAAGCATCTGGGGTTAGCACAGAAGAATCCTCAAGTCACATGAAATAAGCAAAATAAACCTAATCGCGTCTTCCTACACATTTTCTGATAACTTACATATCTGGGTTCCAGATAAGCAATTCTAGGTATGATTCTGATGATTTTTGTACCTGGCCTTCAGCTTCTCACAGCATAACTGCTGCCCTGTTCCCCTCTTGCCCAGAGAACTACAACACACAGACAAAGAAAAGTTTTTTCCCCCCAAGTTTAACAAGTTCTAGCCTCCCCATTGGCTCTTTTGGTCAGGTGCCCACTCACTTCCCTTTTCCTATGCATGCAGTTAGACTTTTTAACCCTTTACAGGTAAAGCAAGTAGAGAACAGCTACCAAGAGGGATTCCATAGCTAACTGGCTGGCTGGGTGTCCACAAAAGGGAGCTATCCCTCCTCTCGTTTATCACAGCATGTTTATGCAGGAAGTACTGAATTTCAAATTCTTACTACCCTGCATAGGTACTGAGGAATTCAGGCAGCCTTAGATATTCAATCCATGACATCACATCTGCAGTCAGGGCTCTCCAAGCTAAATGGATTTATTTTTAAAATAAGAGTTTATTTTCCATTTTGGGAAAGTGCAGGGTAAAACCATATGACAGAAACAGCATTTCAGTGAACTGTATCAGAGTGTAAGGACCTGATTCTATGACAGTGTAAGGATCTGATCCGGTTCCCATTGAATTCAATGGCAAACGTCCATTGACTTCAATGGGAGCAGCTACAGGCCATAATGAAGGCAATTTGTTTAATCCACATTACCTTATAATGCGCTTTGACTGAATGTACAAATATAGTATCTTCTGTGCTGATCATTTATTAGGTATTACAATTAAAATGGAGAAGAAGTGGACAGGCTGAAACATAAAAACAAGTATTTATTTCAATTTCGTAGTAAGAAAATGTGAAAAAGCTATATGTTTAACAATCCGTAGTTATTGCTGACAAGGTTATTATCCATACATATTTCATGACAATGGTGCTTACGAAGGCATAGTAAAAAGAAAGACAATAACAGGACCCAGCTCATGAGATTTCTGTGATCACGTGGAGTTTTGTTTTAAGGGAGCACAAGACACCTTTAGCACTAAGTCGCTTTGTGCTGAGACTTCTAAACCAACATTACAAGAGTAAATAAATGCCATAAAATGGATTTTTTTTGCCTTTGTTTAAATACTTTTCATTGTACTAAAAACGCCACAAGACTGTCATTCTTTTACAATATATTTTCTGCCTATATCAGTCTGACTGCTTTAAATATCTGAAATTATGTAGCCTCATGAACATGACCAACTACACTGGAAACTGAACACCACAGCAATGAGATCAGTTTTGGAGGGGATAATGTTCCGGTGAAGGATAAAAAATATGCACAATCACAAATACTCAAATGTTGACTTTTGCTTGCTTTGTTATATTTACTCAGTGAAGAAGGCAGGAAATTATTAGAAATATCAACCAGTGAAGAAGGCAGGAAATTATTAGAAAAATCAACCTATTTAAATATAAATGAATATCAGCCATTCTAGTTTGTGGCTAGTATGTATAACGTATACAAAGGACAGCTAGCTAACAAGAAAGAGTCTTTATACCGACTGTGCAATCCTGAAGGTGATCAAGAAAATGGGCCTTTACAATACAATTTTTCCTGTATTGAGCGTCCTCCAGAAAGCACTGTGAATAATGGGTCTGAACAGTATCTGCAAGTAAGATTTCTAGCTCTGCACTTGAAAAGCCAAACATTTGGCATGCCCATCTCATGCTTCTCCATGGCATGAAATGGACAAAAAGGGAAAGAGACAAAGAAGATGATAGGAAGCAGCCTGTGCAAATAAAAGACTTTTATTGATGAAAACCAGAGAGTATACATATGTATTTACTGTGCATCCAGTAATTTAACTTTCAGCTATTATTATTAAAATACATACAGCTGTAATAATATACCCAGGTCAAAACTTCATGGAGAGGGAGAGGTTTCAAGATTTCATAAAGTGCAGATCACTGATCACGATAGGTCCCTGAAAATACTCTATACAAGAACTTTTCAACCCAACACGAACATAAATCAATGCTCAAGAGATGCTAGTAGTTCCACACCGTAGGATGGCAATGAATTGTGTTTCATATGGTAACAGCTGTTACGGACTGAAAAGAACAAAACAGAAGAGGTTTGCCTATTTGGGCATTTCATTGCTCAAACTTGTTTTTAAAATATAATTGTTCTCAATGTTAATAGACAAAAAATTAACAAAGCTGTTTTTATTAATATTAGCATATCAGCTACTTTGTGTGAATAAAGACATTTTTCTTTGTTTTTCTACTTGCAAACTTAACTGAAAGACAGATCTCTACAGTACACAGCAAAGATCAAGTTATGAATGACCTGCACAGGTGTGCTAGTGTAAGAACAGAGCACGCTGAAACTTTTGCCCGAGTGGGTCCCAGGTACGACAGCCAATATATGATTAACTGTACTGGAGAGGAGGAGGGGCAGCTAATGCTGCTAGCAGGCTCCAGTAGTCCCACAGGCTGCAGGTCTCAGGAAAGTGGCAGCAGGGCAATGGTGCTCTCGTGACACACTGCTCAAGAACAATTCTGGCTACATCTTTTCCAAGATGCATCAAGTCCTGCTGCCCAGTGTGCTTTCCACAATTCCGAGGAGGCACAATGCCTCTAGCCACCAATATTTAGGCAGTATACTTCCTTCTCCCTACAACAGCTCACTTTCTTATGAGCAATAACCAAGCTCCAAATAAGCCAGTGTAGTCCATCAAGAGAAACAGTCTGATTTTTAAAGTTGTATGAAAAAAGATTTGCATGATGGAGTTCCTATAGTCTACAAAGTATTCTTTAAAAGGGAAATAGGTAAGTCAACAACACACAGTAACTTCTTGGATTCCAACTTAGTCTCTTGCCTTGAAAATGTTTCAGTTTTATTTGTTTAAACAATCTTTTCCCCTCTCCCAGAAATAAATATATATATATATAAACATAAAAGTACAATAACCCCACAAAAGGAAGAACTTTCAGAATTAAGGCTGCAATATTAGGATGACCATATTGGCCATAGGCTGGGAGTATCAAGATAGTGTGAAATGTTACAAATGAGTTTTACTGTATACATATCCTAGGCAGAATGGAATGATTTTAGACAAGAGGAACCAAATTCTGCAACTTTAAAGGCTGTGCTAGCAACTTGTCAGGATTTATAGGGCTGTACCTAATTTACATATATGCTCAGTCACTGATGTTTTAAAAGTACCATTTTACTCACCAATCCAAAAAGATTATTTGTCACAGGCAAAGAGAATTATGCAAGGATGATTTATATAGTTTTAAAATCAAGGACACACACTAATATGGTATCCGCATTTTCCCTTTTTTCCCCTTGACAGATGAAGAGAAATTGTTGATTGAGCTCATCAACAAACAAAAAGCCAAGGCATTAACAAAGCCTTTGTAGAGAAATGTCAGAAGTGAGTTGCGGCTTGTTACAATCATCAGTCAACCAGTTTTCTTTCATATTTTAAGTACAGCAAAATGGAGGGCAGCCACAGACCACATTCTGGCTCTTGGACCACACCCTTGGCCACTTATTTTAAGCCTAGATTTTCAGCCGTATTTTGCAAAATCCTTGGCATGTTTTGCTGTTAAATTATGTAGCCAGTAGTAAATAGTTCTGAACTAGAATAGAAACTGTATAAATGAACAGATCTGCAAACATTTTGGCAACTTTGAAGAGCACTTTACATATTTTCATTAGACCCTTGGCAATTTCACCATCTCTCAAATCTATTAAGTCTTTGTCTTCTCACTTCCTCTTCTGATAGCTGTTCAGATGGAAACCAAAACCCATAAGGTCGCCTCTCATTGCTATGACTTCCTGCACTAAAACCTGTAAGACAAAATGAAAAGCAAATGTAAACCATTTTTATCCTCTGCTGAGTGCAGAATCATACACATCCTATGATTTAAACAGTGAAAAAACTGTGTAGTGTAGTAAGGTTGTGAGCATTGTATACTTTTTTTTTGTTTACTATTATTACAAAACCATTTTAAAATAAATAATGTTATTGGTTTTGATATATAACAAGGAGGTTTTAATACAGGCAATCAAATAACTTACATCATGCGGCAGAAATACTTTTACGTAACTCGTCTTTTGATTAATGCATTGACCAGTAAAGGATAGAATCTGAATCATAAACTGCAGTGGAAAAAAAAACTGTCATAGAAAAAAAGAAAATACATAGAACCAAAATAACTAAACAAGAGCAGCAGTTGTCATTACTGAGACCACACTGTAGTGAACTACTGAGTGTGCAGTACTGCTCTCTACTGGACTGAACCAGTACTGCTCAACTGAGTTACATAGGACCCTATCCGTGCTAACACCATTATGATTATACTCAGATTACCATTGTAACAGAAGATTATTAATCTTCCTGAAATAGTTTACCATGGAAATATCTTTGAGGGATTTCTGTACAGTTTTCGCTCAACTGCATGAGAAATTTTTGATTCAACAGTAAGGAATCTCTTAGATCAGTGCTTAGTTAGCAGATTAGTTTGTCCCCTTGGTATGGCATTTCTGTATTACTTCATTTCTTAATATCGTCTGTACAAATATATTTTAACAAACATGAAATAATTATTGGTCCCTTATGAAACTAGGTAGACTTCCAAAATTTACACTGACAAAGCAGATGAAAAAAATTTTCTGCTAGTTTAAGAGCAATCCCACTGCATAAATGTTCATTAAAAATGTTTCAGAGTGGTAGCAGTGTTAGCCTGTATCAGCAAAAAAAACCCAACAAAACCAAAACAACGAGGAGTATTTGTGGCACCTTAGAGACTAACAAATTTATTTGGGCATAAGCTTTCGTGGGCTAAAACCCACCTCATCGGATGCATGCAGTGGAAAATACAGTAGGAAGTGTGTGTGTATATATGTATATATATATACACACACACACACACACACAGAGAGAACATGAAAAAATGGGTGTTGCCATCCAACTGTAACAAGACCAATCAATTAGGGTCCCTGCAGATAATAGCCCACCCTAATTGACTGGTCTTGTTAGAGTTGGAATGGCAACACCCATTTTTTCATGTTCTCTGTGTATATATAGCTTCCTACTGTATTTTCCACTGCATGCATCTGATGAAGTGGGTTTTAGCCCACGAAAGCTTATGCCCAAATAAATTTGTTAGTCTCTAAGGTGCCACAGGTACTCCTCGTTTTTTTCCCCCTCCATTAAGAATGTGTACTTTTAATACAGCAATTACTCTTTAAAAAGCCCAGGACTTTACATTTTTCAGCATCCTTGTTTTATATAGTAACATCTAGACTTTTAAACTATTTACAAGTCCTCAACAGTTACTTTTGGCAAAGCAAGCTTTTTAAACTTTCAGCTAGTACTACAGTCCAAGATGTGGTGACCCATACCAGATGCACATGTAACTCCATCTTTAGTTGGCAACAAGCAAATTCAGAAATAAACTACACGTGGCAGTTCAGCTATAGCGTAGCACAGTGAGTAAATTAATCTGAGCAGAGATAGTACAGGCTATAGGTGGTTCTCTCTTCTGGCACCGTTGAAAGACAGAAAGAACCTCCCCCGTCACCACCAACTAAAGAATTCAGAGAATTCAAATTCCAAGTCACATAATAAGGAAAGCAAGAAAAGATATAAAGGCTGTGCCTAAGTATGACATCAACTGCCCATATGCTAAGGGTCCTTGGGAAAAAAAAAAGTAGAGATTGGTTTCTGAACCTAGGTACATACATTATTAAGGATAAAAAAGTTAGTTCTAAAGATTAGGGAATAGTTGCGTCAAACTGCATATATATTTATAATGTTAGTATTTATTAACTTTTCATCAAGGGATCATGTTTTAATAGTAATAGTGAATATGAAAAACCAAAAACAAGTAGTGTACTATACATATAGTGGAGCTCATTTTCAGATGCGGGGGTGCTTAGCAAGCTTAAATACAAGGGGCCTGTTTGCATAGTACACAGATGACCTATCTACAGTGCAGTAAGGGAGACCTAGTTATTGACTTCTGACTCAGTTATGTTCTAATTTATAGTATAGACAGGACCTTAATAATAGACAAGTTTACGATTCTACACAAAGACTGGAAGATGCAGAAGGATTTTTTTTGTCCTTGCAAATAGCTCAAACTCTTAGGAAATGCTGCCAAGCCTAACTAGCTGCTCAGGCACCAGTGGTTAGCTATAATAACATGGGATATTCACAAAAAAACAGAAATAGCTGAAGAAAGTTTTAATTCACATTAACATGCAGCAAATCAATATAATGTGCATTGTAACACTTTAACCTCAACGTGGCCTTGCACCACATTGTGTTTCTGAATCTGAAAAAGTAATCAGTATTTTCAGATAGAGGCAAAACTACGTCATATTTAAGAAACATTAAACACAAACACTGCAACTTGTCAATTACTCTTCACCTCACCCATAAGCACACCCACCATTTCAGAACAACATGCCACTCTAATTAAGAGCTAACTAAGTGCTCCTGTATGTGATGAAATATTGCCATCTCCTTTTAAAATACTTTCCTTTAGAAACAAAGTATTCTTCCTGCTAATGTGAAAAAGCCACCCCCACTCCCCAAAGGCCATGGAATACCTCATAACTTGTACCTCCCCCCTATCCCTCTCTCAAAATGAGACTGGTTGAGACAAGTTAAGACTGATGACAACATAGCGGTTGTGATGTTATGACCTAAACCATTTCCATTCTGGATCTGGCCTAACCCCTTCTACCACGTGACCCCAAAGAGAAGTCCCACCTTAATTAGAGGAGACCAATAGGTGTCGGTGCATGGACAGTAACCCTAAACCATGGGTGCAGTAATATTGCAGCAATCCTGTGAACACACACAAGTGGAAACAGCCATGTACAGATGTTAGAGAAAAATAATTATTCACTTCAGGAGGCTAGAAATTTTGTGAGCATGAACCTTTGATTTCAGGCAGCTAAAAAGCATTACAGATCATTGAATTGAAAACAGGCCACTGACTGGCATACTAAGAGAATGTTTATGCATCATACAAACTGGCTATGGTTAATCTGAAAAGAAAGAAAACAATTATCCCAGATGTGGATGCACAATGGCAGATAGGTTCTTTATACATGTACTGAGCAAGGAAGCTCAATGATGGTTGTAAATACATCTTAAAGGCCTAAACATGCCTGTGCAAAGGAGCTGAAAGAAAAGACCCAAGGTGTGATCCCTAAAGCTTTAAATCAATATTCATTAATGAGAGTGTGTCTCAGAAGCTGGACAGACCAGGGTAAAGATTTTTTTAAAAAAAACTTGATGCTATTTTAACAATTTTTTACAAGTTCATTACTTTGTCACTAATAATGATGTCAAGACCACCATGATGGAAAAGTTTATCAGACTTTGAAACTGAAGATGTGATGGTACTTTAGAGCATACAGTACCTTACATTTTTCTAGGCTGAATGGATGGGAAGATATGGTGAAAGAGTGAGCAGTGGGGGCTTTTCAGCGAATTGTTTGGTTTTCCACACTGGTACAATTTGTATGGATTTTTAATTAATATTTTGTTCAGATGTCCAGAGTTTTGATGGGCATAAATACATTTAATATACCAAAAATAGTCAAAGCATGAATAAAATACTAAAACCACTGCATGCAGAGGCAATATAATAAAGGCCATGATTGCAAATGACTCTTCATGGGCACACCACAAGGCCACACAGAGACCTACTGAAGTCACTGAAGCTTTGCATCTGAGCAGGGGTCCAGACACATAGTCAACTGAACAACTGGGACTTAAATTGTATTGCAGCTTTAACTAACATTATGACATACTTTTCTAGATTATTGCTACTCTGAAAAAAAAAGTTTTTCATTTTCCTTCTTATGTATCACAGTAAAACGGTCAATTAAAAATCAGGATCCTGTTTATAGAGTGCCCATGTCCAGTTTTAGTATCTGGAAGATAAGACAACAACATTAGAGTTAAACAAAAACTGGGCACAGTACTCACAACTCCTTAAAGTCCAGCCCCCACACCAGCAACAAAACAAAACAAGATCTGGTGAAAAAAGTAGGAACAATTGCTCAATTATATATATAGTGACCCAAAATGAAAGGCCTTGCAGTGAGCCTTGAAGACCGCTTCAGAGACATCCTCCAGGAAAATGTCCTCACTGAGAGAATTCCATAGATGCATTCCAGGAAACATGAATGCCCTACTCCTGGTCTTATTCTGATAAGAGACAGAGAGCTGAAATGCCCTTGTACACATTGGGCAGAGGTGGTTGTTCATGTCCCTTGTATTAAGGGTTTTATACATTATTAGAATATGGCTGGATACTGATTGCCCAAAGCCACATTTTGACCAGCTAGTTGGGCCTTTTTGATGAGGTCATAGTCATGCAACAACTCCTCAGCCCTGGTATACACTACAAATGAATATCGATATAACACTGTCGCTCGGGAGTGTGGAAAATCAATACCCCTGAGTGACAGAGTTATACCGACCTAAGCCCCAGTGCAGACAGCACTATGTCAGTGGCAGGGCTTCTCCTGTCAACATAGCTCCAGCCTCTCTGAGAGGTGGAGTACTTGTGCTGACAGGAGAAGGTAGCGTCTTTGCTAAATGCTACAGCGGCTCAGCTGCACCCATTAAGATTTTATCATTTAAGCACACCTGTAATTCTTTATGTACAGAGGAAATGTTAATGTTAAGGCAGGGAAGGGACAAGATAAAAAAAACAACAACCTAGGAGATAGCAATAAAGAGAGGCAATTGAGTGGGGGATGTTTCCTCTTGAGGCTAAAGAAAAAAGTGACAGTTTAAACTGCCTTCTTTGCCAAAATAA